GATAAGCAGGTCCGCCATATCAACAACCGCATGCGGGAAATGGTCACCGAGATGAGGAGACTCAAATCCTGCATCGAGCAGTCGGTCGAGAAGGCTGTAGTCTCGGAGAGCGTTTGCAGTAAATGCGCCCAGGTCACACCGGATGGGAAGTGTAGCGTAAACAAGGGGCAGCAGACGACTGCATTGAGGACGAAGAACCAGGCGGCCCAGACGGACCCGCGGCGGGGACAAAGCCAACCCGAGGGTGCGGTCGAAACCCTGGAACGCCCAGGGCAGGCCCAGCAACCAGCTCGTCCACCGCCAGCCCGGACCACCGCCCGGGCAGCAGCGCGCATGGAGCCGGAACATCAGCAAGAAGGCATGGCGAAGACCGCAGGGCCTGTTTCCGCTGTGACCTCGTGGAGCACGGTAGTAAAGAAGAAGAAGCCGTCTCGCAGAACACGACCCGACGCAGTGGTAGTGGAGGCAGCAGGGAAGACCTACAACGAGGTCTTGGCAATGGTTACGAGAAGAGGCGACAACCAACTTTCTGACCTGGGAAGCGCCGTAAACAAAGTTCGCCGTACGGCAAAAGGAAACCTACTCCTGGAGGTGGCAAAAGGCAGCAAGGGAAGCGCCGAGTGCATGAGAGACAGTATCTCTCGAGTCCTTGGGGACGCGGCGGAAGTTCGGGCACTGACCGAGTATTCGAAGGTCTGTGTCTTCGTAATAAGGGACCTCGACGCGATTACGTCGGAAAGCGAGATCCGAAACGCCTTCACAAAGCAGTGCCAGCTTAGTTTGGCCCGCATCCGGGAAGCCGATGGCTTCGTGCGTGCAGAAGTCGGTGGCTTTTGGATGTACAGTTGCTACCTTGCGCCTAGCCTGCCGTTGGAGGCGTTTAGCAGGATTCTTAACGAACTCTGCTACGACTTGCGCGGTAGGGCGAACGTGATAGTTGGAGGCGACTTCAATGCCTGGGCCCAGGAGTGGGGATCCACAGCGACCAACGCCAGAGGACGGGTTGTGCTAGTGGCGTTCGCCTCGACGGATGTTGTCCTCCTGAACCACGGAGAGCGGCACACGTTTGTCAGAGCGGGAGCTGCCTCGATCATTGACCTCACGTTTGCGAGCAGTGCAATCTCCCATAATGTCAAATGGGAGATCAGCGACGCATATACGGGGAGCGATCACGAGGCTATCCTCTGTTCGGTAGGGGAGTCCTCGCGCTGTGTTGAGACCCAACAAAGCATACCGACCGGATATGCTATGCACGCAGAAATTCACGGACGCACTGGAGGGCATGTCAGCTGATGGATCAGTTGGAGCGAATGAGTTGGCGAACCAGACCGCTGCACTTATGGAATGTGCCTGCGACAGGAGCATGCGGCTGAGAGGGGCGTTTCGGAGGAACAAGAGGCCTATGTTCTGGTGGAGCGACACGATAGTCCAGTCGGACTTTTCCCTAAGAAAGGAGTACTATTTTCTCATAGAAACGGGCGGAGGGATGGAAAAGTGCCCGTTTGTGTAAAAGTCTAATTCGCTTTTATGCAGGGGTGGCCGGGGTAATTCGTGTATTTTGGCATCCGCCGTCGCTGCTCGGGTGAGGAAGAAATTCTGGCCATTTGAAGAACTTCTTCCTCCCCAGAGCGTATAAAAATCTGATCGTTTACGGAATTTCCCCTCCCAAGAGAGTATAAAAAATTGGATGTACGAAGAATCCGTCGCTTGGGTGAGGAAGAAATTCTGGCCTTTTGAAGAATTTCTTCCTCCCCAGAGAGTATAAAAAAATTTGATTTTGGAAGAAATTCTTCCTCCCCAGAGAGTATAAAAAATTTGATTTTGGAAGAAATTCTTCCTCCCCAGAGAGTACAAAAATAAATAAAATAAATCATTAAAAACTTTTTTTCCTTATTATAATTTAATAAGGAACGCGTTGTTTTTTTTTAAACATAAATAAGGAACTGAATTCATATTTAAACTAAATTAAAGCTTAAGAATAAGAAAAGTATAAATAAAAATAAAAGTAGAACGGAAACTTATTCTGAGGTCTTCATTTTTTTTGCCTTCGAAGTGGCCTTATAAACGCGCTGTTTAGCCTTGGCGAAGGCCTCGCGTACAATCTGTATATAGTCGACAAAGCTGCGGCCCTCCGAACAAGAAGATTCAAATAATTACAAAAAAACCATTTATAAATAAATATAATTAATAAATTCATATTAAGACGTACCAAACAAAGCGTTGTTCAAATGTGGAAATACTGATAAGCCAATTTTGTCAGGACCCCCTGCGTAATTCATTTTCATGATTAGGTCTTTAGCAAAAAAAACGCTCTATATTTTTTTCCAGTCCTTCGGGTCCCACCATTTTCTTAAAAGCCTCGATCTAAAAGTAAATATTTTTAAAAAATTTGAAACAGACTAATTATATTATTATATTTACGTAGTTCGATGGAGTCTCCTTGATTTTGTTGTTTATCTCGGTCATTTCCTCCTCGGTCTTGAGGGGGAACTCCAGTTTCGGAGACACCAAGGGACTTCGGATACCCTCTAAATGCGAAAGTATTCTGGCATTCACAGCCGTCGAGGTTCTCTGCATTACTTCGATTGTTTCTAAAAAAAGAGGATATATATATTAAAAATATTGTTCTTAAATATATTTTTTTATACAAGTTAACTCACTCTTTAATTCCGCCATTTCCTCTAGAACAAGAGTGTTTAAAAATAGAAATAAAACAAATTATTAGTCTAAAGGTACAATTATTTGTTTTTTTAAGATTTACTCACTTTTCATTTCCTGAAGTTCCGCTAAAAATAGACCTTTTGAAAGTGCATGCTTCTCGCAACCAGGGCATGCCTCATGAGCCTCCAAAGAAAATGAGCGGTCCATATCTTATATATATATAAATTAATATAAATATTAAATAGGTAATCAGGTAGGTTCATTAAAATCTAAGGTATACGCAAGGTGTACATGATACCATTAAGGGGGGGGGGTAAGGTATTTAATTTTTTTTTTTCGTAAATTTTTTTTTATTTTTTATTTTTAAAGTTGTACATCTTAAGAATATTGTGTCCAAGTTTTACATCGATCAGAAAAAAATTGACGAAGTTATGCGGAGTTGAACGAAGGTCGGTTGGTGTTCAATGCATGAAAATCACAAAGTTTAAAGCGCTCTCCTGAAAAATGCCATTTTGAAAATCGGTGTACACGATAACTCAAAATCTACTGAACCAATCGGTTTAAAATTAGGAACATAACTTCTTTGGATAATTCTACAGGTATTCACGTCGAGCTTTTTTTTAATTTTTTAATTTTCTTATATTTTTTATTTAACAAATTAACTTAATTTTTTAGTCAAAAATCGGGGTTTTGACTTCAAATTTTGATAAAAAATAGGGAAAAAATTAAAAAAATAAAAACTCTTCGTGAATACCTCGGGACACTTATCCTTTAACGAATGAGGTATAATTTTTGTAGATCGGATGATTCTGTGGACAGTTAGGATGTACACCGCAAACCAACTTTTTTTAGAGGCCACTCGGGAGATTCCCTATAACTCCTCTACCTCTAAATATTTTTCAATACAAAATTTATCAAAAACTGTTCAAATGTTGTGTTATTATATGGTATTTAATTCGTTAAGCTAACTTTAGCCGTTTCGCCACAACATTTTATTAAAAAGTGGGCATTTTTGCACCGAATTAACCTTACCCCCCCCTTCACAGGTTAGTTTGAAGGATTGGTAAAAAACGCAAAGCAGCGGATATATGTATATGTACACGTCAAACCCTGAAAGGTAGAAGGATATAAGTTATGATTTAGATATCTTCCCCGCACAGTCCCTCGCTGCAGTCAGTTGGCTCCGGGGGAGGGGATGATGGTTCAGCCTTGGCTAGCTGTGTTCCGGCCGAGCTGGGCGGTTGCCGCTGGCTCTATTATATGTTCCAAATTAGGAAGATTATGTTGGGAGTCACCGACTCCGTTATTAACGGCCCTTAAGGCACATTAACCAATTTCAATGAATAAAGAATAAGTTACGGCCAATGCCGGAGTTTAAATGTTCAAGCTATTGCTTTATTGAATTTCTGAATTAAAACTAAAGACAAAGGAATTTTCATAAGTCAACGTCCGGCCGGCAAGCCGACCGCTCGTGCAGCAAAGTGCTGACACTAGCAAAACCGACATAACTCACCATACCGTGCACCAATGGGAATCGGGTACGGCCCCTAAAGGTGTTTACGCTGATTTTGCATTTAAATACTAGGGTGATTCAATAATCACCCAAGGTTAGTACCGACTTATGATTACTCCTTAGTAGTGTTAACAATTCCCCCCTTAGGAATATGACCGTCCTCGGTCATCTGGAATTTATCGACTACTTGCTGGATCTCCCGTGCGTCTCGTCTCCTCCTCAGCATCATGATGAGTAGGAAGGAGCAGCTGATGAGAAGGCTGGCTCCCACGCCGACCGCGAACCAGATGTCGGTAGTTCCCGCTGACTTCACTTCCTCCTTAAGCCCTTGGATGACCTCCAAGTTTTGGTTATTAAGTCTTTGGAGAAGTGGCATGCTTAGCGTGGGATCGTGGCCTATGATGTTAATTAATGGGGATGCCGCCATGCCCGGGGTCTTTCTTATAGCTTCACGTTGGTTTGAGTACTTGGTGCCATTGATGAAAGCCACTCGCTCGAACGTGATGAGATGTGAGCCGTTGGTAGCTATTTCAGGGCCGTCATCAGTGCTGATTTTAGCTGGGCACTCGTTGATTATTATTACTCCGTCGTCTACCAACGTGATGGGGCTTAGGTGGCTGGCTTGCGTCTCGCATAGGGCGGTACTCCCCGCGTGTAGGCCTCGAGCACAATTGTCATGGGTCGCCAGCTTGCAGAATGATGCGTAAGTTGTTGGTACGCAATCGGTGACCGCTAAGACGTCGTTATTGCATTCGGCTACCGTGTTCTCCTTCAATTGCAGGATGGTATGTTGGTGTGATACGGGGAAGATCGTGACCTTTTTACAAGTTGTTTTAATTTTAGGGTATACAGATACAGACTTCAAATCATTCTGGTTAAAAATTGCTGGGTTTATAATGTTGGCCTTTGCAAGTGTGACTGTAAGCATTACATTTTGAATCTCGGTTATTAGTATTCTATTTCTGGCCAAAAGTACCTCGTACAGATGAGAAGTGTCAACTATATTATTTAGTTTGGCCTTGATAATTTTGTTAACGGCCTCTGTTAATTCATTAATTTTGTTCTGCGTCTGTGTATTTATTACAGCCTGACGGTTATTTGACTCAATTAGGCGTGCCTCAGACATTTTTAGCATATCGAAATCGGCTGAATCAGGTGTGCCTGCAATTACCTTGAGTGCGGTGCCTAGGAAGTCTAGGCTCCTGGCCATCCTATGATGTACTTTTAAAACAGACAATAAACTTCTAACATGTTCGGTGTCGACGTCTAACAATTTTTTCATATGAGACTGTGGGAATAAATCGGACAACCTAGCAGTTTCTTCTACTATAATTGAAAATTCGGACAAGTTACTTGAATGTCTAAGCAAATTTCTATGTTCCCATACCAACGCAATTCCGTCCGTGATTGGGATGTATTGAGCGTGCGAATAATCCGTAATCCTAGCGTTAACCATAGTTAACGTTATCAATAAAATTCCCGCGATCCTGTAAGAAGGCGAAAGGTTAAATCTACCGTGTAAAAAATGGAGTAAGTATGCTAAGGTGTAGTGTGTACGAAAATAAAGTAAAAAAAGAAAAAAAGTTGAGGGGTATTTTTATCTGAGGTTGTCCTTGTGGACCACCCTCCCTCTAATAAGAACAGACGTTCCCATGTCTGCTTGTACACGCTCTTCTGTGTACAGTGCGGTTAGTTTATTTCCTAACCTTTTGTTATTTTTGAGGTATACTTTTTCTCCTACTTCAAAAATTCTGTTTTGTCTAGTAGGGTTGCACCTATCTAGATTGGCCTGTTGTGCCTTTTCAATATTATTTATTATTGGCGATTTCTGTTCGGCATTGGTTGAGTGCAAGGCCTGTATGGGTGGCAGCCCTGTCACTGAATGTATTGTCTTGTTATATTCTACCGTGGCTCTCATAATAAGCTCCACGGTATCGTCAACCTTTTGGTCGATTTTCATGCACCTAGCTATCTCAGTTAGGGTACTGTGGAATCGCTCCACTTGCCCGTTCGAGCTGCTGTGTAGGGGGGGTGCGTTAATAATGTCGATGTTATATTGATTTTTCAGTAACGAGGTTATAGTCTCCGAGTTGAAGGACGCCTCATTATCGCAATATATGGTTTTAACGACTGGGAAAAAGTTTATTAGTTGTAATATACGGCCGCGCACATCGATTATGGCCCTAGAAAGTAGTGGCTGTACTACAGCGAATTTTGAAAATTTATCTATACAGGTTAAAAAAAACCTCTTATCGGTAGAGTAGATATCTATATGCAGCATTTCGCCAGCATATGAGGGGGTTGGCGTGACACCCAATTCCTGCTTCTTGGGGTGTCTGTTGTACTTTCCCTTGGTGCATGTCTTGCAGTTTAAAACCACTTCGTTGGCGAGTTTGGAAATATTTGGAAAATAGTCCTATGCCCTATGAGCGCGGTTGTGTTCGCAGATGATAACTTCTTTCTGTTCATTTGCGTCCGTGATGTCATTCACGAATTTTTTGCAATGCCAGAATTTGGTTGCCGGGAATTCGGTCACCAAGGCATGTTGGATGCTTGCTAGTGCGGAGAGATCGCAGTAAATGGCATTAACAACATCTGCGTTTACTACCTCTTTGACCAACCCGAATAGTGAGTCCTTGTCATTGAATTGGATTATGTGACGGTTTTTGGTCCCGAAAACTATAAAGTGTCGCCGTAAAGGTTGGTTTGCTTCCTCTAGGATTATTTGATTCCTGTAGCAGTTTACGGGCTTATCGGTAGATTCGACCGTGTAGGTCAACGAGAGTTCACTGTGAATAGTGGCTACATCAGATTGGGGTTCGTTTTGCATAGCGTTTATGTGTTGCCGCGACAAAGCGTCGGCAACGAAATTTTCCTTTCCGGGTTTGTAGAATAGCTTGGCGTTGTGTTCTTCGATGAATGCTTTCCATCGTTTAATTTTTGCGTTAGTATTTCGCTCGGATACAGCGAAAGTAAGTGGCTGATGGTCCGTAAAAACTCCGATCTCTTTTGTGCCGTATAGGTAGTTTTGTAATTTCCCTATGGCCCAAACAATAGCCAATAATTCCCTTTCGTTGGTTGCATAATTGAGCTCGCAGTCTTTCAACGTGCGAGATATCATTGTGATAGGCCTGCCGTTTTGGGATAGTACTGCACCGATACCGCTTGCTGAGGCATCGGTGGTCAAATCGAACGGAAGTTTGAAATCCGGATACGTTAGTATCACGTCTTCTGATGACAAAATGGCTCGCAGGCGCTCAAACGCTCTGCGTTAGGACTCATCAAATTCGATGGCAACCTTTTTTGACATGTGTTTGCTAACAGTGCCATTCTCTCCCTTAAGTATGGAGGTAAGTGGTCTAGCTATGGTAGCGAAGTCTTTAACGAAACTTCTGTAGTAACTAGCCAATCCCAGAAAAGACCTGAGACTGAACAAATTTTTTGGTTCAGTGTACTCCTGTATGGTTTTTACCTTTTCCGGATCTGTTTTGGCTCCGTTTGATGTAACGATGAAGCCTAAAAATTCAACACTTTCTTTGAAGAATTTAGTTTTTTCTGGTGCCACTCTCATGTTGGCTTCGCACAGGCATTTTAGGACTGTGTCAATGTGTGTGACGTGGTCGGCAGCATTTTTGGAGAAAATTATCACGTCGTCTACATAGACGTAACAAATTTTCCCGATCTGTTCACGTAGTACGTCGTCAATTGCCCTTTGAAAGATGCTTCCCGCATTTTTCAGTCCAATGGGTAGACGGCAAAATTCATACTTTCCTCCGTTTATGGAGAAAGCAGTTTTTTCACGGTCTTTTTCAGCCAGGTAAATCTGGTGGTACCCCGACTTTAAGTATAGGGTAGTAAAAAATTTTGCCTTTCCTAGGTTCGCTAGAATCATAGGAATGCTTGGCATAGGGTAACGGTCGGCGATGGTTCGTTCATTCAGTTTCCTGAAATCGATCACCAGCCGTTTTTTCTTGTTGCCGTCTGCATCAAGTCCCTTTTTGTCAACAACCCATGTCGGGCTGTTAAATGGAGACCTAGAGGGCCGGATAATGCCATCCTTTAACAGCTGTTTGATTTCTGTGTTAACAAAATCAGCTGCTCCCATGGGATAAGGGTATAGCTTGGAATATACGGGTTCGTTAGTTTCCGTACGAATTGTGGCAATGATCGAGGTGTTAAAAGGTAGCGCCTCGTTAGAGTGCGAAAACACTTGTTTCCTCTTAAGGATCATTTTTTTAAACTCAGCTTTCACTGAACTTGGGACTTTTAAGTCATCGATATTTGTGAAGTTCACATTATCGCACTCGTGGTATTTGAGTTGTTCAGATATGTTTCCATACCTGATTACGCTGTTACGTAAATCTAATGCCGCTCCGGCCTGCGTTAGCAAGTCGAAACCTATTATGGCATCAAAGGTGTTGATAGTATCAAGTAGAAAAAATTGAGCCTTTTGGCCGAATATGTGCATAAAGCACTTTTCTTTGATTTTACTGGAGCCATGACTGGAACTCACAGTAAATGGGGAGGCGGCAGGCATTATGTTCTTCAGCTCCTTTAGGTGCTTTACGTAACTTTTTGCCGCTCCAGTGTCGATGAGGATTTTTATAGATCTTCCCGCCAGCCTTCGCTCAATGAAGGGCAAGCGGGACCTTCCTCTAAAAAATTGACGATGTCGTTAACGTCGAATGAGTCACTGTCATCATCGATTGCGTTTAGTGCTGCTATGGCCGCGTTTTCGTAATCTTGAGAATCATCCGCGTTTGCGGTTTGCTCAACATTGTTAACCCGCTGGCGCCTTTGGCCAGTCATTCTCTCCGAAGAGTTTGGTCTTTTTGAACGCTGAACATTTTGGTATTGAGGGTTGTTTCCCTGTCTAAAGCCCGTAGGCTGTCGGAATTTGGAAGACGATGGATCAATGTCCATAGGCTCTGGTGGTTGATTTGGTTTACCCTGATCTACCCAGTTGTCTTGTTTACGCCATGAATCATTGTTTTGATATTTGTTTGGCTTTTTGAAAAAATGGGGGTTTTTTTCTGGTCCGCGATCGGCATCAGAATTTTTCCCATGTTTCTCGGGCGTTCGGTATTGGCCCTTGTGAAAATCAGTATTCTGATTTCTTTGCTCAGCTACCTTGGCATATGTGGCCGCGAACATGCTTCGCTCAATGCTGGCCTCTGCCTCCCTAGCTAATGCCAGTGCTGCTGGCAAGTCTCTTGGTTGTGCTGGAAAAACAACAGCCCTTAGTGATTTTTTTAGACCGGAAATAAATACGTGTAGGGCGTCAGCCCTAACTTCTGTATTAAGTAGTGCAGCCCTTTCGTCGTCATGTGTCATGACAATTTTGTTGGTAACGAGGGTCAACCTTCGTTCGACCTCATCGTAGTACTGCATTAATGTTTGGTCGCCCTGCCGGACCGACTCAAGTCCCTGCCGTAATAGGCGCAAAGATGTTTTATCTGCGTAAGAGCAGTCTAATCTTGCTATTATGGCTTTAAAATTAAGCACTGTATTATACGAAACTAGCAGCGCGCGAGCTGGACCCTTAATTTTGTTTCTAATAATAGTAACGGCTTGGAAATGCTCGGCACTGCCCTCATACGACTCGAATAGCTCATAGGCATCGATGGCGGATTGTCTCCATGCCACGTACTCGTCTTGTACACCAGTAAAATCTGGAATTGACTTCACTACATGTAATGGTATATCGCATTTTTTTGCGTTTGGTTTTACTGCTACCCTCTGGTAGGATTCTACTTCTGGTACTTCTACACGCAAACTCTGAAGCTGTTCATTAACAGCATTGATCTGACTCGCGAATGCGGCTTTGATCCTCAGTTCTTGATTAGTTAATGCGGTCTGAATTAACGCCTCTATTTGCGCCGCGTTCATTGTTCCTGTGTTATTTTCGCGGGGCTCTATGGCTAACTCTTCCTCACTATCACTATCACTTTCACTCTCACTTCTATTTTCCCTATATGGGCCAGGAAAACTCATAAGGCCACTAATTGGTTGACACTAAACCCTGGTTGTTGGGTGGCCGAATGTTTTAATTCGACAAAATTAATTTTGTATATTATGATTTTATAATAATAACCGGAAGCTTGGCGTCTGAAAAAAAATTTTTTTAACGACGGCTAATATTATAACACTTTATTTATTAGTAAGTCACATTTGCAGTTGCTTTATTTAAATCGTATGTTGTTTGTTTTTCTTTATATTTATTATTTTTTTTTTTTTTACTCGTAGGGATTATTATTTATTTTTTCCCTATACGTGTGTTTGAAGTATGACTGTATTAGTATTGTTCAGCCCACTTACATATTTTGGGGTCGTGGATTCTCTACTGAAGTTGGGCGCCAGTTATGATTTAGATATCTTCCCCGCACACTCCCTCGCTGCAGTCAGTTGGCTCCGGGGGAGGGGATGATGGTTCAGCCTTGGCTAGCTGTGTTCCGGCCGAGCTGGGCGGTTGCCGCTGGCTCTATTATATGTTCCAAATTAGGAAGACTATGTTGGGAGTCACCGACTCCGTTATTAACGGCCCTTAAGGCACATTAACCAATTTCAATGAATAAAGAATAAGTTACGGCCAATGCCGGAGTTTAAATGTTCAAGCTATTGCTTTATTGAATTTCTGAATTAAAACTAAAGACAAAGGAATTTTCATAAGTCAACGTCCGGCCGGCAAGCCGACCGCTCGTGCAGCAAAGTGCTGACACTAGCAAAACCGACATAACTCACCATACCGTGCACCAATGGGAATCGGGTACGGCCCCTAAAGGTGTTTACGCTGATTTTGCATTTAAATACTAGGGTGATTCAATAATCACCCAAGGTTAGTACCGACTTATGATTACTCCTTAGTAGTTTTAACATATACAGGTAGTTTCGGATATAGACTAAAATCCTATAAAACTCGAAGCTTGCATGCAAATGCATTCAGTTGTGATAAATTACGTGTTGTGTGCGGACGTGAAAACATATTGTTTAAAAAGTGTCACAGAATGAGTGGTTTATCGAAAAGGAATTTAAGGCGTAACGCCCAAAGAGTGCGAATGGAGGTAGCTGCGTTGGAAGGTTTTGAACAGGCAAGTGGAAGTTTAGAGAGAATCATCCATGATAGTACAGGGGGTAATGCAATTAATTATGAAGAGATTAATAACGATTCAGAGATTCAGGAACAATGGGAAGATTTAAATTTTATGGAAAATATTCCAGAAGAAGCAATCATAGGAGAATCAACTTTGTCGAATAGTCGTCCTAGTTCGACATTAAGAACTAAATTAATAAGGTGGTACAGGCAGTGCAATGTTACTAGAAGTCAATTGGAGCAGCTCTTAATTATTTTAAAATCAGAAAATATTAATGTTCCGATTTCTGCTAAGGGTCTTTTGAAATCTAGAAATAAAAAGGCTATAATTCAAACAGTGACTCCTGGAGCTTATATATTGGTATAGAACCACACCTTATTTCTATGGAGGAACACCTAATCGATGGAAGCGAATTAATATTAGATATTAATGTCGATGGGTTACCTCTGTTTAAAAGTTCATTAACATGTGTTTGGCCTATTCTGGGATTTTTTAAAAACTTGAAAAATTCGGAAGTGTTTCTAATAGGATCATATTCAGGTAGTTCAAAGCCGGCCAATGTGAATAATTATCTTCACGATTTTATTGCCGAAATTTCAGGCTATCAGTCCTCTTCATATAGGTTCAAAGCAGGTCAAAGTTAGGGTCAATTCTTTTGTCTGTGACGCCCCAGCTCGAGCATTCATGTGCGGAACCCTTGGGACAAACGCAATGTCACAGTATTTACAAATGAAGTACGTACATTAATGTCAAACAGCGACTTCCGAAATAGGGTTTATCCAAACCATCACCAGCCCCTTTTTAAGGAGCGGGTTTCTTTAGGTATAGAACAATTAGATATTGATATGATCGCAGGATTTCCTTTAGACCCAATGCACCTGTTAGATTTAGGTGTTTGCAAAAAAATGTTAAAATACATATTTGAAGGGAAAACACTTGGGTTTAAGGTAAACAAGTGCCGGCTAGGAGAAATTTCAGAAAAAATTTTAGGCCTGAAGCCATTTCTGCCTGTTGAGTTTGGCAGGAAGCCCAGATCTTTGGAAGAATTTCCAAGGTGGAAGGCAATAGAGTTTAGGCAGGTTGCCGTATACACAGGTATGGTAATTCTGAAACAATTTGTTTCAGAGGAGTGTTACAGGCACGTTTTAGTTTTTACCTGTGCATACAGATTGTTATTAGACAAAAATATGCTCATTTCTTAGGTATGGCAGGTGAAATCCTAGATTATTTTGTTAGCCGATTTACAGTTGTCTATCCGCCTGAATCTTTGACCTACAATGTACACAAAGTTCTTCATTTAACAGATTGCGTTCGAGAACAAGGGCACTTAACCGAGTTTACTGCCTATAAGTTCGAAAATTTTTTACAAAATCAAAAGAAATGTTAAGAAGCCGAATAAAATTTTGGAACAGCTTGTAAAAAAATTTTCCTCGCCGATTCCGTCTGCCCAAACTAGGTTACTTGGAGAAAAGCGAGACAGGCACGGAAAAATTACAAAATATAATTTTCCAGAATTTACATTATCGACAAAAATGCCCGATAATGTGTGTTGTCTAAAATCTGGAATTCCTTTGAAAATATTAGAACTGAAAACGACGTTATTTGTGTAAGGGGACAGCGATTTGCAAACAAGCGAGATTTTTTCAGCCTACCAATGCAGAGTTCGGCGATAGGAATACTTTTAGTGGACGCCAATGTTGACGAAGCAATTGAAACTCATCCAATTGCTGAAATTTCATTTAAATATTTACACCTGCCACACGAAAGTAATAAAATAGTTCTCGTGCCTCTAATTAACTCCCTTTCCGATTAAAAATAAAAACAATCAACCCCTCTTTTCTGAAGAAAGGAAAACATGTGATCACGCCTCTAGACGCCGACGCATACATCGACATAATTGAGACATCCACGGACACACATTTGCATATATGTAAGGATAAAAAACGAAACCACAATAACAAGTGTTTAATACAGTATTGAAATAACTACTAGTGATTGTTAATGTTTAAGGCATATATTAGATTAGCTGTAGGTCATATTAAACTTATAATAATATATAGTTTTAGTTAAATACATACCTTTTTTTAAAATTCACTTCCACAAAACACAATCACAAATGACACCGCAGAAATAGTAGGGCTGCATCGCGATCTTCGTTGCACTTTGGTGTGACCACCACTTGTTTTGGCTAATTTGCATAATCGCAACAGCCATATACGAGTAAATTCATTTTTCTTAAAGTTAAATTGCACGTTCCTGTGCAAAATTAAACTTTGTGAAATTTCCACGAACCATTTCAAGTTTTCCATGATATTTGGGTGCTCCTGAGTAAAAGTCCCATACAAAATTATTTTCCATCACCTACAGGTTTCGCGGTATACCTAAGAATACAAAAAACCTATGTTTGCCGACATTTTGAATAACGTGGCCTATATAATTGGACTTACCTTTATTATTTTTGGTAGGACCTATTCTCAATACATCACGGCACTACTAAAAAATAGTCCCAATCGTGGACCATTGTCCATGTCTTTGGAATTCGACGCCAAAGTTGAAACTCCCAAAATTTTCAACATTTCTGTTATGAAAAAACAATTCTGAGAATTAAATCTTCCATGGGACTAATTTTAAATTTTCATTGAATCTATTGCTCATTGTATTCTTTAATTTCGGTTTAAAGCGTTTTCATGAGGACATTTTATTGGATTTATTAAACAAATAAAACCGATTTTTTGGTTTTATTATCTACTACTATTTGCTGTCAAATTTCAAATAAGTCAAGGCAACCTATAAAATAGTAGTAGATTAGTTTCTTTTTATATATAATATACATTTTTTCTTTTTGACTAAACTTAAATATGTAAGGATTATCGCTGGGTACTAAGCTGTCTTAAAAATGTTATGTTCGGAAGACCTTTTTATTTAATATACAACTAAATGTATATTATATATAAAAAAGAAACAAATCTACTACTATTTTATAGGTTGCCTTGACTTATTTGAAATTTGACAGCAAATAGTAGTAGATAATAAAACCAAAAAATCGGTTTTATTTGTTTAATAAATCCAATAAAATGTCCTCATGAAAACGCTTTAAACCGAAATTAAAGAATACAATGAGCAATAGATTCAATGCAAATTTAAAATTAGTCCCATGGAAGATTTAATTCTCAGAATTGTTTTTTCATAACAGAAATGTTGAAAATTTTGGGAGTTTCAACTTTGGCGTCGAATTCCAAAGACATGGACAATGGTCCACGATTGGGACTATTTTTTAGTAGTGCCGTGATGTATTGAGAGTAGGTCCTACCAAAAATAATAAAGGTAAGTCCAATTATATAGGCCACGTTATTCAAAATGTCGGCAAACATAGGTTTTTTGTATTCTTAGGTATACCGCGAAACCTGTAGGTGATGGAAAACAATTTTGTATGGGACTTTTACTCAGGAGCACCCAAATATCATGGAAAACTTGAAATGGTTCGTGGAAATTTTTGGCTGTGTACCTGTGTTGTTACAAAAATAACATAGGTGGCTGTTTGGAACACATGCATATAATTTTTTCAATCGGTATGCACCCCAAACACCATTTTATACGTCATTTAGTTATTTATGTATATTTTACATATTTATTAATATCTTAATCTTGTTAAGGGGGTCTTCTCATTGAGCAACTTTTTTTTTCGATTTATTTTTTGCATTTATTTATAGCTTGGGTAGTTGTGAACATGCCCCAAAAGGATTTTTAGAAATTCGAAATATTTTAGAAGATACAGCCTTTTTTGTGAAGCAAGGTCTTCGTCAAAAGGAGCTATTTTTAAAATTACTTCAAACGCGTTTATCTCGAAACAACGTTTTTCGAACTGGCGGCCATGATATCTCCACTTCAACTGAACCGATTTTCATGAAACAAAGTGGAATCGACGCAGAATTGTCACCATTCTCGGGTGACAGGAGATTATATTTAAAAAAAAAAAAATGTTTACTATTTTTTTTAAACTAAACTACAAAAAATAAGGCCGAAATTGAATTTGTTTTTTAATGGCCGCCACTTTGTGAAAAAAAAGACAAAATTATTGTCCACTGTCACCCGAGAATGACATCTATACTGATTATAACCCCGTTTTTTTTTTTTTCATTTGAGACGCTCCGGAGACCCGGAATCGTGGCCGTGACGACACCTTTTTTTTCCACCACCAACTTTGAAGTACTTCAAATGACACGTGTCATTACTCTTTGAACAGCCCTCGTATCGAGGCAAAAATAATTTTGTATTTACTTTGAACATTTCTTAATACAATAAATAATGCAAGTTTTCAATTATTCTTTGCGTTTTCAAATAAGAATTTTTTTAAAAATTTGTAATTGTTTTATACAAAATAAATATATTGGGACCATTCAGGAGTTTTACATAGTTTAATAGCAAATCCTAAGATAATTGCGAAGAATTACATGCGGTTTTATTATCAAACGTCGCATTAAAAATAAAAATCCCCAAAGGGAATTTTCGTTCGAAAAAAACCCTCCCATTTCCACAAGAATTTCATCCTCCCCTTTTCGCGTCCTCCCGAAAAGTCCGACTGGGAGCCGACCTCCGGTCCACTTGCCTTCGCGCTCGGAGACGTATGACGCGGGTTCGAGGCTCGTCCAGAGTCGCCGAGTGCAGCGAGGCATATAAAATGGCACGGAAGACACTCAAAATTGCCATAAGGGACGCGAAGAGGGACAGCTTCCTGCGGCTCTGCGACGAAGCGGAAAACGACCCCTGGAGCGGAGCATATAGACTGGTGGTCAAAGGACTGAAAGCGGATAGCACGGCCCCTTCTGATCCGGATACACTGGACGGCATAGTGCAAGCCCTATTCCCGAGGGGAGCACCGGTGACCCTGCAGAGCAGCGCTGTGAGTCATTCCAGCGACGCCTGGGCGGTTTCGGACGAAGAGGTGACCAGGATAGGACGGAGCGTACGCCCCAAAAAGGCGCCGGGGCCGGATGCAGTGCCTAACCGTGCGCTGAAGCTGGCCATCGCGTTGCACCCAAAGGAGTTCGCCGGCCTATACTCAAGGTGCCTCGAGGAGGGTACCTTTCCAGAGAGGTGGAAGAGGCAAAGGCTTCTGCTGTTGGCCAAACCGGGCAAACCGCCTGGAGAGCCATCCTCGTATAGGCCAATCTGCCTTACCGACACTACGGGCAAGGTGCTCGAGAAGATAATAGCCGCAAGGCTACATGCCGCCATCGAGAGGGCCGGAGGCCTCTCGCCGAGCCAGTTCGGCTTCAGAAAAGGGAAGTCAACGCTGGACGCAATCGAGGCGGTGAAGGAGACGGCGGGATCTGCGATCGCGGGAAAGAGGTGGGAAGGCGGTTCCAAGAAATACTGTCTGGTGGTCACGCTGGACATTAGGAACGCCTTCAACACAGCGGACTGGAATCGGACGCTGGAGTCCCTTGCAGCCCTCAACATTCCAGGATATCTGCTGGAGATTGTGAGAAGTTTCTTCAGTGAGAGGACTGTCGTCGTGGACACGAACATGGGGTCCAGAGCATACGAAGTCTCAGCCGGAGTCTCACAGGGCTCCGTGCTGGGACCCCTGCTCTGGAACACCATGTACGAGGGGGTCCTGCGACTCCCGATGCCCAGCGACACCAAGATAGTTGGCTTCGCGGACGACATAGCGGTGGTTGTATTCGCGAAGGAGCGGGCGGCTGCGGAGGAAAAAGCGAATGGTGCGATCAGAGCAATCGAGGCGTGGCTCTCGAACGCTGGCCTGGACAAGACGGAGGCAGTCCTGATTTCGAGCAGGAAGAAAATCGAAACGGCGGAGGTCCTGGTCGGAGGAACGGCCATAAAATCCGAGAGGGCCATCAAATACCTGGGTGTCCTCCTCGATACAAGGCTGTCCTTCAAAGAACACCTCCAGTACGTCCAAAAGAAGGCCAGTGGGACGGTTGGAGCACTTTCTCGGATGCTGCTGAACACCAGGGGACCTAAGCAGAGCACAAGGAGGCTGCTGACCAGCGTCATCACCTCCCAATTGCTGTATGCGGCACCAGTGTGGGCGGAGGCGGCTTGAAAAAAGTCTTATATGCGGGGTATCGAGTCAACGTATAGACTCTGTGCCATTCGAGTGGCGAGCGCCTTCCGACCCATCTCGGACGACGCGGTGCTGGTGCTAGCAGGACTGGTCCCTCTAAAGGAGCTGATCCGCGAGAAGGCGGACATTCGTGCCGTGCTCCGCGGCCAGCAGGGAGCCGACACGGTCTAGAAGGCCGAGCTGAAAAGCGCGGCCAGAAAAAGGAGCTACGGAAGCTGGCAGGCCCGGTGGGATGCCTCGTTCAAAGGTCGCTGGACCCACAGGATGATCCCCAACATCGAGGCCTGGATGGAGCGGAAGCACGGACAGGTAGATTTTTACCTGACCCAGGTGCTGAGCGGGCATGGATGCTTCCGTAGTTACCTCAAGAGGTTTGGCCATGACGCGGAGGAAAGCTGCCCGGAATGTGGATCCGGGATAACAGAGAATGCAGCCCACGTCATCTTCGACTGCCGCCGGTTCGACGAGGAAAGGGACGAGCTGGAGGCGATAGCAGGTGCAGCCATCAGTGTGGATTCGCTGATGCTGGCGGACCCGAGGACATGGGAGGCGGCGGCAGAGTTCGCTGCCAAGCTTATGAGATCTCTCAGGGCCCTGGAGAGATCGAGAAAGGAGCAGACTGGCTGAGCGGCTTACCGATGTGCGAAGCATTGCTTTGCGGCCGTACCGCACAATCGCGAGCCCCTTGCCCTGTCGTTCTCATTTTTTGTTACGTGTTAGCGAATTGTAAAAGTTAAAAATTTTTGTTGTGTAATAAATGAATAAAAAAAAAAAAAAACCACACACACACACCACACACACACACTACACACTCACACACACAACTGTACATTTAGCGGCACGGAGCCGGAGTTACTTTGCCCAAGAAGGGCCAAATTATATTAAGACCGCAACGAACAAGGGTATACATTTTTCAAAGACGGACTGTAGGGACCGCGACCGCGCTGAAGACATTTCCCCTCTCCGCTGCCGACGCAAGCCGACGCGACAGCGGCAGAGGCAGCGACATTTCCCCTCCGGGACGACAACAACGATCGGCATGTAAACAAGCACGATCAAAACATAAACAAGCACG